TAATGTTGGCACAATTCCCAGCTGTTAATAAGGAGGACTTTGCAGAATCAGTGTGTGTCATTGTCATTTCCTGCACCATGTTAGAATCTGTGTGCTCCATCTGGTTTCGCTACTCTTACCAGACTTTACAATAGTTATGTACAACTGAATGGCTTGCTAGCTCATTTCAGAATGAATGATGTTTTTGTGGATCGGGAAACATACGTAGGCCAGATTAGGTGAGGATGGCAGATTTTCCTGCTCTAAAGGATATTAGTGAATAAATGGAACATTACACTTATTTCAGTATTTTAATAGTCACCATTAGACTAGTTTTTAATTCAAGATTTATTAATTTAATTCAAATTTCATTGTCTGCCATGATGGGATTTGAACTTCTGTCTCCCAGAGCATTAGTTTGGGTCTTCAAAGTAATGAAACAATTATGCCAACATCTCCTCTGATGTATCTCTCCTGCCTATCCCTAAATTTCTTTTGAAGCTAAAGTATATGTTGAATACTTTAATAAAATGCATCATGCTTTGTCTTACCATAATATCAGCTAACATGTTGACTTAATGGTGCTGTTCCTTCACTTGTAAGTGTAAAGCTGTTGAAACCAAAATGGATCTGAAACAGTCACTTCTAGATCTCCCGCAATTGCATTTATTGTGGGTTTTCTGCATCATCAAACAGTTGATGTAATAGCAAAGTCGCTACTAAAGTTGCAATCCCAATGGATTATCATGCCTGACTGACCGGGATGAGTACTTCAATTTTTCAGTCTTTTGGCAAAGTGTGCAAATTTTGCCTTTTTCTTCTCCAGACTCCTGCCCTTTTGTAACTCATCTTCTAAGGTTCTTTTGCCCACCTGTGGTATTCTTCCTACTCTGTGGCCGTGTAATCAAAGTCTTTCAAGGTCTTTACTCTGCCTTCTTTGTCTGTTCTTTTCTCTGCTTTTTCCTCAAAGATCTTGAACCGTCTTCAGAGTCTTCTTTTTCACAGCTACACCTTTGAAATTTTTCAAGGTCTTCTCCTACCTTTGGTGTCTGCCCCTTTTAGCTGTATCCCTCGGACTCTACTCTATCTTCAGATCCTGGCTCTGGAGGTTTTGTTCCCTAGCTGCCGTCATGCTTTACTACTACCTACATATTGAGATGTTAGTCTGGATTATCTTGAGCTGTAGGTGTCTGCACAAACAGTGTTTTGAAGGTTGTTTGCTCTTTATCACTAAGGGTCTTTAACTTGTTATGTACTGTAACACTCCTTTATTTACATCTGTACATAATAGGTTATCAAACACAGCTCTCTAATGTAGTATCTAAGAATTCTCTCTTCACACACTCATTCTAGACTGGTGTCTTCTCTCTTACTGTTGTTATCATATCATCATGACTTACAACGGTCTCATTATACCACAATTTCTGACAGCCCCACAGTCCTGAGATCTGTGTATTCACTTAAAATCAGAGATACTATGAAGGTTTGAATTAATTCTTCAAACAGCCTTCAGTTGCCTAGGTCTTAAGCACTGACATTGTCTCCTTAAACTCATTTACCTTTCTTTCTTCCATTCATTAAGTTGCTGCTGTATAAGACTTTGATCATGCTTTTGGCCATCTGTTCTAGTGTTGTCAAATTGCGTCTTAAAATGTTCATTCAAAGTGCCTTGGTACGTCAACTATAATGTTGAAGTGCTTTACAAATACAAGTTTTTATTAGAAAAGCACTAACCTTCCTACTAATTTCAGCAATATTGCTGCTCTTTACTTGAATTGATTTTATCCTCATCTTTATAATCCTCAAAAGACAGTAAGGTCATCTACTGATGGATGACTCTCAATACTGTTTCTTGGTTATTAATTAGCAAAGGCATAACAGTAGAGTTGGATTCATATGGTTAATGTCCTGTTCCTAATGTTCTGAGGAATTCACTTTGCACCGGCTGTTTGCTCCCTCACCAACTGGGAAAACATAGATCAATACCTATAACCCACAATCCTTTGGCATTGCATTTTAGATACTTAATAAAGCAATACATTGCGGAACTGAATTTTCTCAATTTTTATCCAATCTAACATGGGCTATTTCCTCAGGGCAACATACCAGGCCTCTCAATTTTCAGATGCTTTCTATCATAAAGTCAGGAACAGGAATGACTGTGTACATAGCTCCATTGTAATTGCACTGACTAGGAAGCTATGCATATTGCATGTAGGGAACAACATCGAAGCTAGGGCTGATGAAAGACCAGAAAGACGTGCACTACACAAATGCCTAGCAATGAGCCTCTTTTGAAGAAAAAGGAAAGTGCAACCAGTTCCCCTGAACATTCAATGTTTTCACTATCACTGAACTTCCACCATTAATATTCTGGGCTACACCATGATTCAGAAACTCAAATGGACTAATTAAAAATAAAATGCCATGGCTAACAGGGCAGGTCAAGGGCCAGGTATTTGTAGGCAATGACATTCTTTCCAAATCTCAAAAACCCCACTGTCGCTGATTTGACACAAATCACAAGTTTGATGGTGTAGACTGTTGTTGCTGAGGTGAGTGAGACTTCAAAAACATTGAAGAATCTCCACAAGATACAGGACTTAGCAGTTTATTTTATTGAATGTCCATTCTTTGTCTTTAAAACTAACTTCTTACACCTTCCATATGTCATGGCTACAGTGTGTACTAACTATAGAATGCAACAATTCAAAAGTTCTCTTTGACAATACTTCCTAAACACACGATCTCCACCAGCTAGGGCAATAGCAGTATACACAGGGATTGCAGCTCCTTAATTGACACTGGGAAGATCCAGGAACACTGCTGAACAGCACTGTTAGGACTATTTTCATCATATAGCTGCAGTTGTTCAAGGTAGCTCACAACTTCCTCCTCAACAGTTATCAGGTATAGTCAATTAGTGCATTTTCATTGATACATTAAGAGTTAGATTTTTAATAAAATGTATATTTTATTAAGTGTTCAGCTTAGAGGGCTGTTGTTTGATACAGAATACATGTGGTGTTGTAGATTATGTGCAATTTAAACATAGCTTGTATACAGAGCAGATCACGTTGATTTGAAACAAGCCTGAGCTTTTTTGTGGTTGCAGACATGGGCTTCAATCGTGTGGCATTGGAGGTAAGATTTGGCAGGGCATGGAGAGCTGATGGTGGTTCTAAGTCCCTCTGTACACTGAAATCCTGAGCTCACTCAGTTGGTTGGTACAAGATTTAAAGTGTGCGACCTTATTTGCGCTGTTGGTGAGAGTATGTGGATAATAGAGCACACGCTGTGTGGAACAATGCAGCTCAAAGGACACCCAAGCTTTCCCACATCCAATTGAATTTTGTTTATCACATTTGCATTTTGGCAAATGATGACATTCATTTGCTTCTACTGTAAATTCTAGAGAAATCCTAGATAACGAACTTCCACAAGATTTGAGACGCACAGGTTTATGATTGAAGAATAAATTCACAAAGAAGCTAATTTCTGAAGAAGGGTCCAGACCCGAAACGTCAGCTTTCCTGCTCCTCTGATGCTGCTTGGCCTGCTGTGTTCATCCAGCTCTACACCTTGTTATAACAAAAAGAAGGGTCTGTTTTGAATTTGTTCCCCTTAAAGGAGACTTCCCTCTTATCCAGTGGGGGTGCAGAGAAATGGCTCCAGGTCTCTGTCCATATTGTGGTGCCACAGAGGTTGCAGGGGGGTTCCAGGGGCTTTCCCCATGGCCAAACCCTAACAATAGTAGCAGTTGGAGGCCGAGTGCGTCTTTACAAATAATGTAGGATGCAGTATTCATGGCATCCCACCACATTATCTGGTGACAACAATTTAATGCAGCAGTGGAAGGACCTTGGAGGTATGGTGGAATATTCTTCTATTTGGACCTCTTCATGTGTTCCAGGGCACGCTGAAGGAAAAGGAAGCAAGAGCAAACATGTTTGCTGAGCCCCTCCCTCCCCCCAAAGTGTTCCAAAGGAGATGGCCAAAAGTGGTTTCCTAAGCCTGTAGCGAAGTGCCTGCTTTTTGCTTGATTTTGTGAATGGGCTGTACTAGCTTTCTGAAGGTGTGAATTGAAACAATATAGATTTGTACTGAAACTGTAAAACTGCACATCGAAGTGAAAACATTTCCTCTGTGGTATTGAGTTATGGAACACCTTTTTTTTTGTAGCTTTTTATTTTAAGGTACAAAATCAAAGATGAAGCTGATGTTTACATATTATTGATTGATAAACAGCCCACATCACTTTAACAAAGTACGTTGAGATCAGAGTAGGATCTACAATTTGTTGTTGAACATGTTCAGACATATGTAGTTACTCAAAAGTGAAGCAGAAAACAATATGTGCATCCAACAACCGTAGAGGGCAACATGTTTCTACAAATACTATTTCAATTTAATCAACTGTTTGTCAGGTCTATTCACTAAATATTGAAAAATACTTTTAGTAATGTTGAAAATCAACATTTTCAAACCTTTTTTTACTTTGCACAAAACAATTGTTTTGTGTTGACTTTGTTCCCCTTTAACACTACTGTTATTTCCCATGCCTGTAAGGTTGAAGATGCCATGTCATAACAGATTACATATCATCCCCAGCAATCATGTTGGGAAATTCAACAATTAGCACTCAATTGATTTTTGCTGATTTAGAAGAGTTCTGTCATCTATTGGATAGAATCAGCAAAATAAATTTCTCATCCTCAACATCATAACTGTGTTTAAAGTGAGATGCTTATTTTGTACTGGCATTACAACAGTGTAGCAGGTTTCTAAATAGATAACCCAGCCACCAACCACATAGCAATACAGTTGATACAGCTTAGTTGGATCATGGTTAATATGGTCCATTGGTCATAATTTCTAAGACATCAGTTTGGTTGCAATGTATATAAATACAAGTAGTCTGTAGAATTTTGCTTGTTCACTTCATGAAAAAGCATATGGTAAACATTTTTAAAAATCTTATTAAACATACATGATCAAATAAATCACATCAAAACACGTCATTACACTATTTGGGTGTGACTTTATTGTGATCAAAATGATGCACTGTTCTTCTGACATTTTTCCCCTTTAAAACAAAAACGCGGATCATCAAACATTCTTCATTAATACAGTAGCCCCTGTATTAAATGGAATGACTTCCACCATTTTTACAATCAGCAGGCCTGGACTATATTTAGACCGATTAATGCTATCCTTAGAACCAATAACACTGAAAGAGGAATTTTTCTTTTTATAAAATGAAGATATAACAGCTTTTTCAAAAATAAAACCATCAGCATAGCTGATTCTAAATGCACTTAAACAGTACAGAAACTTCTTTTACGGAGGTAACGCACAGTAGCCACACTAGAGACAAAACATGTGTTGCTTCGCAGAGGATCTTGCTTTTCTTCACAGGCTGAGGTAACAGCTTTTGCATGCTTATTCTTGTGTTATTGGTTCACTAGGTCTTGGAACAAGGGCTGCAGGAGGCCTCGGATAATAACCTATGAAACTCGGTTTATCTGGACAAAACCTGGGGAACTTGTGGTCAAGTGACAAGTCTGCAAAATAAAAAACAAAATGAGGTAGTACCTGGGACTAAGTTATTTTCATAAAACCAGATTTTGTAAATACAGATATTATGTGATAAGAACAGTACATCATATTATACAGAAACATAAAGTTCCAATAAAAGCACCCGTATTGCTGAAATCAAATGTAGCTACAACACCATGATGCTGCTGTCACTTTACCAAGACATAATTCCATGAATTGGATTCAATGATACACCTGAACTTGCAGAGACCACATGGAGTGAACCCACTTAACTATAGCAAGGCAGTGGCACAGTGGTGATGTGGACTAATAATCCAGAAGCTCATGCTAGTGTTCTAGGGATATGGGATTGAATCTCAGTAAAATCTGGGACTATTTAAAAAAAAAGACTAATTTAATAGTGACCATTGTTGATTGCTGTAAAAAAAAATGGTTCACTCATGTTCTTTAGAGAAGGCCTGCATATAACAATGTCGTTGACTCTCAACTGCCTCTGAGCAAGCTATTTAGTTCAAGGACAAAAAGGAATGGGCAACAAATGCCAACCTTGCCAGTGACACTCACATCATATGTGAGAAAAAAAAGTGTTCCTTACAAGTAAATCAGACAGAATACCTGCAGAAATCACAATGACCAAGGTACCTTTCTAATCTTATTAGAAACTGCAAATAACTATTTATCTTTTAATCATTAAATCAAATCATCTTCTGTGGGCACCTTGTTTGTGTAACCACCAACCAAATGTGACTCAATATCATTGACATCTGTTAACTCACTTTTAATTGTTAGGTAACATTACAAAATCCAACTGTGGTGAATTATAGAAAGCTGGCATGTGATAAAGCAAACAAAGCACTTGTTTACTGGTCTGAGTGCTAAGATTGTTATAATACTATTCTAACCATATGAACGAGGAGGAGGAGTAGGCTTTTCAGTCATTCAAGCTGGTCATTCTGTTCAATTAGCAAGATTATCTGATAACAACTTCATATTCCCACCTACTACCGATAACTAACTTTCACCTGTTTTGATTACCAAGAATCTATCCAATTCTGCCTTAAAATATCAAAAGACTCTGCTTCCACTGCTTTTTCAGGAAGAGAGTCAAAGACTCATGACCCTCTATGAGTAAAGATTTTATCTTATTTCTGTTTAAATTGGGCAACCTCTGATTTTTAAACAGTGGCATCTAATTTTACATTCTCCAGAAATGCAAACATCCTCTCCACATCCATGCTTTCATGGCCTTTCAGGATCTTACTGGTTAATCAAGTCACCTCTTCCTCTTCAAAGTCCAGTAGATACAATCTTAGCCTGTCCAATCTTTTTTCTCATAAGATGATCTACACGCTTCTAGGATAAGTCTGGTAAGTATTCTCTGAACTGCTTACAACACATTTCTATTTCTCCTCAAATACTGTGCCAAAAAGTAAAAACTAGTAATCCTGGCAAATGAAACACAATGGTCCAATTCGTCTTGCATACTTCAAAATGGACCTACAGTATGACTAGTATTAGAAGTATTACTAGTTTTTCCTTTCTGGGTGATCAATACTGTACACAGTACTCCAGACACTCTGAACTATAATCTCCCTACTTTCGTATTCAATCCCTCTCAATAATATTATTCTATTGACTTTCCTAATTACTTGCTGTACTTGCTCTTTTGTGATTCATGTATTATGACACCTAAGTCCCTCTATAGCTCAGGGCTCTGCAGTCTCTCATCAGTTAAATGCTTCTTCTATATTCCCTCATACAAAATGGAAAATTTTACATGTTTCACTATCATAATCTACTTGCTATATCTTTGCCTGTTCATGGAGCCTATATTCTCTTGCAGCCTTATGTTCTCTTCAGAATTTATTTTCCTATTTATCTTTGTGCAACTAGCAATTTTGCCAACCAGGTCGTTTGCCTCTTCATCCAAGTCATTTATATAAATTGTGAACAGTCAATATCCCAGCACCCGTGGCACACTGCTTGTATATCATACCAACCTGAGAAAGACTCATTTATGCCTATTCTCTGCTTCTTGTTAGCCAGCCAATTTTCTATTCATGCCAATATACTACACTCTACAGGATGAGTTTTTATTTTCTCCAATAACCTTCAATGTCGCATTTTATCAAACATCTTCTGCAAATCTAAGTACAACACATCTTTTAACCACAACACATGTGCCTTCTTCAAAGTAGTCCATAAATTGGTTGAATATGATTTCTCTTTTACAAAACCACGTGGGTTGGGGGGAGGAGGCAAGAGAATGAGTTTGAGAATGTATCAGCCATTACTTGATGGGCCGAGTGGCCTAATTCTGCTCTTATATCTTATGGTCAATAGTCTTATGTTGACTCTGCCTGATTAAATCTTATCTAAGTGCCCTGTTATAACTTGCTTGATAATAGTTTTTACTTTGCTATAACTGGCTTTCTTGCCTTCCATCTCTCCCTTTCTGAATTGAGGAGTTATATTTGTTATCTTCCAATCTAATCAGACCAGGGAGTTTTGGAAAATTAAAACTAACACATTATCTCATTAGCCAATTCTTTTAAGACCATAGTTCATCAGGACACCATCACATGTCTGTCTGAAGCTCCATTAATCTACGAAGTAAAAATTCTCTGATGGTTTTCATTCTTTTCTCCCTCCCTCCCATTTCTTGTTTTATGACTACTTCTGGGAGCTAACTTATATCCTCTATGTGGAAGAGTGATGAAAAATACCTGTTCATTTCATCCGTTTCCTCTATTTTCTACTTTAAATTCTCGAGACTCACTTTCTAGATCACCAATGCATGCGTGATTAATTTTTTTTTACATATTTACACAACTTTACTAACTGGTTACATATTTCTGGTTGTTTTATCTCAAACACTTCTTTCTGTTTCTTCAGCTAATCTTCCTTTTTTTTTTAAAACAAAAAAATTCTGCCCAATCTACCTCTCTTTGCTCAATTCTACGCTGCTTCTTTGAGTCTGATAATATCTTTAACCATTCCAAATAAATTTGGAATTTTTCTGACTTGTTGGAATGTATCTATTCTACATGTTCTGAAATGTCCTCTTAAATGTCTATATTGCATCTCTACCAACTGATCCTTTCTTCTGGTTTGCCAATTTACTTTAGTCATTTTTGCTTTCATGCCCTCATAATTGCCCTTATTTAAGTCAATAAAATAGTCTGGGACTCATCTCTCTCCCTTATACTGAATGTTAAATTCAATCATATTATAGTTGCAGCTGCCTAGGCACATTAATTAATCCTATCTTATTACATAATACCAAGTTTAGTAAATTAAACTAAGTTTAGTTCTTCAGAAAAGTCAAAGCAGACTTTAACACTGTTTCTCTCTTCACAGATGTTACAGATCTGCTAAGTTTCTCCAGCATTCTCTGCATTTGTTCTGGTATATCCTGCTCTCTGTTCACCTCCAGAACATGATGTTCTAAGAAACTGTCCTGAAAATATTCAATAAACACCTCATCTAGGCTACCTTTGACTATATGAATTTTCCAGCCTACATATCAATTACAATATCCGATGATTATTGACTTGTCTTTTGCATAATCACATGGTAGGATGGAGAATAATGTAAGGGGTATGTACACCACCTCCACAAGTGACTTTTTGCTTTTATTGTTTTACATCTCTACCCAAACCACTTCCATATCCTGGTTTCCTGAACTTACATCATAATGCTATATTGTGCAAATACCATGAATAAGCAACAGCGCCAATTCCTCCCACCTTTTCTTAGCTTTCTGTCCTTCTTCGATGTCCTGTACCTTTCAATATTCAAGAACCAATTCTGGTCACCCTGCAGCCACGTCCCCAAAATTAGTACAAAATCACACTAATTTATTTCAATTTATGCTATCAGTTCATCTGTTTTGTATGATTGCTGTATGCATTCAGATACAGAATCTTTTAGTCTTTTCCTTTGTCTTCTTTTTGTAACCTCTAACCTCTTTATATAATCGACTGTTGATTTGTACTCTTTCCCTTCTTTTCAAAAATTGTTTATCACTTTGCATATTAATATCTTTATTTTGCCTTGTCTCTACTCTTTGATCCATTATATCTTCCTAAATTTCATTCCTTGCCCCTACCATTTAGTTTTAAATACTCTACTTCCTTAGTTACGCATCTTGCAAAAGCATCACCCCCAGCGCAGTTCAAGTGGTGACTGTTCGAGTGATACAGATCTCACTTTCCACATATTGTGCCAAGTCAATGCACATGAACTGGAATCCACTTCTCCCACATCACTTTTTGCAGCGTGTATTCATCTCTGTAAAATAATTTGATCCATTCCAATTACTATACTTCTTAATTTGGTACCTTGCCCTTCGTAGTGCCTATGCAACACCTGTTTTGTCCAGCCTATATCATTGGTACCTGCATGGACCACAACAACTGTATCCTCCACCTTTCACTGTAAGATCCTTTCTAGCTCTGAGCAAATGTCCTGAAACTGGAATCAAGCAGGTAGCACAGCCATCTGAACTCGTACCCTTTACTGAAGTCAATGGTGTCAATCCTCCTGGCTCCTTGTTAGCACTATATTCATTTATGTTTTGCCCAATTAATTCCTTCTCGTACCATGGTGCGATGGTCACTTGGCTCATCCACCTTGCAGCCCTTAGTCTCACCAAAACAAGCTGAAAGGTCGTCAAACCTATTAGACATTTGCAAAGGCCGAGGCTTCTGGGCTCCAGGTTCCTTTACCTGCTTCACTAGCTGTCAAACTCTCCTGTCCAAGAACACAGGCCAATTCAGGGCACCATATCGTCAGAAGTACGATTGTCTTTAAGTACAAAAACTCCAGGAAATTTGCTTCCTTCCTGATGTGTTGCAGTGTCCGTAGTTTAGCCACCTTACTTTGAGCTGAAGGCGCTTGAACTTTAAGCACCTATTGCAGATATGTTTGCCCTGGATCATACTGGCATCCAGGAGATCCCACATACTGCAGCTGTGACATACTTCCTGTGCTGCCATCCTTG